AAGACACATAATCATTGGATTCACCAGGGTTGAAATAAAGGAGAAAATTCTGAGGGCAGCTAAAGAGAAAGGTCAGGTTACCCATAAAGGGAAGCCTATCAGACTCACAGCAGATCTCTCAGCTGAAACCCTACAAACTAGAAGAGAGTAGGGGTCAATATTCAATATCCTCAAAGAAAAGAATTTTCAACCCAGAATCTCATATCCAGCCAAATTAATCTTCATAAATGAAGGAAAAATAAAGTTTTTCACAAACAAGCAAGCACTCAGAGATTTCATCACCACCAGACCTGCTTTACAAGAGCTTCTGAAAGAAGCACTATACACAGAAAGGAACAGCCAGTATCAGTCATCCCAAAAACTTACTGAAAGGTAAAGAGTATCTCCATAATGAAGAATCTATATCAACTAATGGGCAAAATAGCCAGCTAGCATTAAATGACAGCATTAAACTCACAAATATCAATATTATTCCTAAATTGAAATGGATTAAATGCCCCAATCAAAGACACAGGCAAATTGAATAAAAAGTCAAAACCCATCAGTTTGCTGTATCCACATCCATCTCATAAGCAAGGACACAGAAAGACTCAAAATAAAGGATTGGTGGAAGACTTACCAATCAAATGCAGAGCAGAAATAAAAGAAAACAGTTGTAACTTTCATCTCTGACAAAATAGACTTTAATAGTAACAAGGACTAAAAGAAACAAAGAAGGACATTACATAACGGTAAAAGGATTCATGCAACAACAGGAGTCAATGATCATAAATATATATGCACCCAATATAGGAACACCCAGATACATAAGACAAGTTCTGAATGACTTGTAAAGAGACTTGGACTCCTGCACAATAATAGTGGGAGACTTTGACACCACATTGTTAATATTTGACAGATCAATGAGCTAGAAAATTAACAGGGACATCTATGATTTGAACTCAGCCCTGGAACAAGTAAACTCAGTGAATATTTATAGAATTCTTCACCCCAGGTCCACAGAGCATACATTTTTCTCAGTATATTACACCTATTTTGAAAGTGACCACATAATTGGAAGTAAATCACTCTTCAGCATTTGCATAGCATTTCGCAGACTTAAATGAAATATTGGTTGGCTGTTTGTTTGTTATTTTCTTCCCTTATTCCTTCCTGTCTCTGCTGTTAAGCACAATTATCAGCATAAAAGAGGTTTTTAATACCTATTTTTAGATTGCATTCCAGCCTGGGCAATAGAGCAAGCTCCTGTTCTCTCTCCCCCTTTCTCTTTCTCTTTCTTTTTCTTTATTACTCTCTTTCTTTCTTTTTTTCCTTTTCTTTCTTTCAAAAAAAAAAAGAAAAAAAGAAAAAATTAGCCAGGTTTGGTCATGCACGCCTGCCTGTGGTCCCAGCTAGGGAGGCTGAGGCATGAAAATCACTTGAACCTACCTGAGAATTATAAGCTTTATCAGAAGAAAAAAAAGAAAAAGAAAAAGAAAATGACTTGAACCTGGGAGATGAAGGTTGCAGTGAGCCGAGGTTATGCCACTGTACTCCATCCTGGGTGACAGAGTGAAACTCTCTCTCAAAAAAAAAAAAAAATTATGTATGCTATGGTAGAATGTGTAGAAACATTGATTTTCTTTTTCATTCAACAAGTGCTATTTTCAAACAGCTATCAGATGTGAGGTTCTGTATTAGATGCTGAAGCAACAGCAAAAACAAGATGGACAAGGTCTGTGCTCTCTTAGAGCTTGAATTCTAGTGGAGAGAGACATACAAGTAAATAAACAAATAAAGACAGTATCAAGTGGTGATGTGTGCTCTGCATAAAAGAAAATGCAAGCAGAAATGGGGAGAGCATTTTTGCTGACATCTGAAGAATAAGAAGGAATCAGAAGATGAGTGTACCAGGCAAGAGTTCCAGGCTTGCAAGTAAAAGGCCCCAAGATGCAAATGAGCTTGGTACATTTAAGGAACAGAAAGGTGTGGAAGGTCAAGCAGCAAGACAGAGTATTACTTGAGATGAAGCCAGAGAGTTAAGGTGGGGCCAGATCTTGTAGGTCCCTGTGGACCTAAGAGTTTGGACTTTTTAAGTGAAATGAGAAATCATTGGAGGGTTTTAAGCAGGGGAAAAACATTATCTCATTTATGTCCTATCATGCATAGTAGGCACCTGATAAATGTGTCCAAAGTTGACTGTAGGAATAGACTCAAACTACACAACTACTCCCTTGTGTGTCTTGGGGACTGCAGACTTCTAGATGACATACTCCTTTCTAAGTGAGCTTTCCCTAAGGCAGGGTCCCCAACCGGTCCGTGGCCCCTTAGGAACCAGGCTGCACAGCAGGAAGTGAGCAGCAGGTGAGCAAGCTTTCTACCTGAGTTCCGCCTCCTGTCAGATCAATGGCAGTATTAGATTCTCAGAGGAGCGAGAAACCTACTGTGAACTGCACATGGGAGGGATCTAGGTTGTAGGCTCCTGAGGAGAGTCTAATGCCTGATGATCTGAGGTGGAACAGTTTCATGCCGGAAACCATCCCTACCCTGCATCCCAACTCTGTGGAAAAATTGTCTTCTACAAAACCAGTCCCTGGTGCCATAAAGGTTGGGGACCACTCCCCTAAGGGATGGAAATAGCCATGAATGGTATGTGTACTGAGACACAGAGAGAGAGAGTGAGAGTGTGTGTGTGTGTGTGTGTGTGTGTGTGTGTGTGTGTTTGGGGTGTCTTATTTAGAGAACTTCAAAATAATTCTGTAACTACATAGTGAAATTGTCATATCGCCCATGTTCTCTTTTTAGACCCGACTATAATTAGACTTCCCCAAAGATTCACTGAGGCATTTACTTAATAGTTGATAAAATTTTCTGTTTTCCTGAGGGTTTGTATTGGGGGAAGTAGCTGATAGCTGCAGGCCTCCACCTCTGTCCAACCCCATGCCTGCAGGTATTTTAAGTCATGGTAGACTCTAGTCCTGCTTAGACAAGAGGAATGCAGCCCCTCCCTTCAGGGGTCTCCAGGCAAAGCAGAGGACTCTCAGTCACTTATTGTTGGATACTCCACTCCAGGGATTGTGCCCATGGCCTGGCATCATGAATCTGCTCCTGCAATTAAACTCCTGTCTCAGGGAATTTTGAATTTAAAAGATCCTTAGACATTATCTATCCCAGTGCTCCCCAGTAGGAGCACTTCTGCTATTTTGGGTGGGACTGTCCTAAGCACCATAGGAAATTTCACATTCCTGGCCCCACCCACTGAATGCTGCAGGCCCTTGCCCCTACCATTCCCACTCACTGCTCGCCACCCCCAACAAAAATGCTTCCACACATTTTCTTTTTCTTTTTTTTTTTTTTGAGACGGAGTTTTGTTCTTGTTATCCAGGCTGGAGTGCAATGGCGCGATCTCGGCTCACCGAAACCTCTGCCTCCTGGGTTCAGGCAATTCTCCTGCCTCAGCCTCCTGAGTAGCTGGGATTACAGGCACGCGCCACCATGCCCAGCTAAGTTTTTGTATTTTTAGTAGAGACGGGGTTTCACCATGTTGACCAGGATGGTCTCGATCTCTTGACCTCGTGATCCACCCGCCTCGGCCTCCCAAAGTGCTGGGATTACAGGCTTGAGCCACCGCGCCCGGCCACTTCCACACATTTTCAACAGCTTCCTGAGTTGACAGTCACTCATCTAGCCCAGTTCTATCACTTTACAGGTAAGGCAGTGTTACACAATGGGTGTGTTTTTCATGCCTCGATCAGGACCCAGCATTCAGATTTTACAATGAAGCTAGTTTCTGAAATATGCCTCTCTTTTTTGTTCTTCTGCTGTTACTGTTTTCTCAGAGTTATAAGCTCTGTGTTGGAAATGTAAGTCTGAACCTTTCAGATGGGTTAAGAAAAAATTATGAGCCTTTGCAGATTGTTCTGTACATAACTTAAGGTTTGATAAAGTGTTTTCTACATATATTCCATTGCCATCCACCTCTTGAGTTCTTTAATAATGAGAAATCTGACCTTCTTCCTTCTGCCCTCTTTATCTCTATGCTTTTGTTGAGCATCTTCTAGGAGAGTTACTGTTACCTCATTAAGTGTGGGGGACAGAAACGTTTTGGCATAGAAAGTTATGGATCTGCAGCTGACTTACGCTGTATATTATTTACCCTGACTTGGGCACCAAATTCACGTTTCAAAACTCATTTGCTGCCAGATATGGTAGCTCAAGCCTATAATCCCAGCACTTTTGGAGGCTAAGATGGAAGGATCACTTTGAAGTTAGGAGTTCAAGACCAGCCTGGGCAACAAAGCAAGACTCCATCTCTACAAAATATAAAAATAAAATAAATTAGTGAGGTACAGTAACATATGCCTGTAGTCTCAGCTACTCAGGAGGCTGAAGCTGGAGGATCACTTGAACCCAGGAGGTCAGGGCCACAGAGAGCTATGATTATGCCACTGTACTCCAATCTGAGTGACAGCAAGACTGTTTCTAAAAAAAAAAAAAAAAGAAAAAATTTTAAAAAGAAGAACTTCATTTGCCTTCACACATCTAATCTGCTCTCTCCACCTGCATTTGTAACTCTCTCCCTACACACTTGAGTGCTCTGTCAATGAGAAGAAGCACTTAGCCTAATTAAGAGGTAAGATAAGGTAGGTAAGAACTTTTCTTTCTTGAGTGACTCTTTCCCTAATACTCAATGGAATAGTCAGCATTTACAGTGATACCTTCAAATAGAATTTTCCTAGAGGAATCTCAAGTTCCACAAACAATTATTTTTGTGGGAATACTATAATAAAGTTGGACTCTTCACTGAATGGAGGTGCTCATCTCCTCTTGTCACTGCACCAAACAGCTGTGTATTACACCTCGTGGAGAGGAGAAACATTTCATTTTTTAAATTTAGGTTTTTTTCCTTGCTTGCTTCTTAAGCAAAACCAATGTAGTTTCTTTTTCTGCAGCAAAGGAGGAAGGAACAAACAACAAATTAATCAGACAGGAAGCGAATAACCACAGAAGGACGTCTGCCTCTGACTCAGTATGTCATATTTAACAAGAGGCCAGAGCTTGTCCAAAATGGCTGTCCAAAAACGACCCCACACTTGCATTAGAAGATGATGCCTTTTTCAGGGACTGTTTTCTCTCTTGGCGCCTGTCCCGCTGGCTCTCTGTCTGCCTGTGTCCCTGACCATGGCTCCCTGCAGTACCCTTTAACGGTAAGAAAAATTATATTCAAACTAAGCCTATTTCCTCTATCAGCTACAGGGAAGAACTAAATGGCTTTTAATGGACCATAATATGTTGAGATAAAGTTGTTTAATTTTCCCGTAGAAGCCCATGTGAGCCATTCCTGTTGCCCAGAGTGCTGCTTTCACCACTGTGGTGATTGTGAGTGATTCATAACTTGTGCTTCGAGCCAAAATGTAAGCAAGATTTTCAATAGAATTTTTCTTGACTATTGGACAAGTTTGGATCCATAGGAATTTCCCCATTTTCTGATTTAAACTGGGGGCTTATATGAATAAATATATCCTCTTGGTGCGTGATATAGTTGTCCACACAGCTGCTTTTGAATCTTTGGTGTGGCCAGCCACAGTAAGTGCTTTAATAATGTACAAGGAGCCATTGGAAGCTTCAAATGAAAATGCCATGGAACTAAGCTGTTGGACTTCTGCTGCTGCCAATGTGCTATTTAAGTTGAAAACTCAAACTAAACCATTTCTAAGCAGAGTCTTTTAGAAAGAATACGATTTGTCTTTTAGAATAAGTCTATTCCTATTATAACAGTGTGTGCACAATTACTATCACAAATCAAGTTCTATAGCATTAGTTATAACTATTTATGCTTAATGTGATTAGTGTTTTGGCATAAAATACTACGATTTTTAAAATTTCAAGCCATATACTCAGAGACTTACAGAGCAGGATTAAGGAAACTTTATAGATTTAAAAAACCCTTTTCTAGAATATGTAGGAAAAAACAACTTATTTTCTTTTTTCCCCTTGGAGAAATATAAAATAAAGCTTTAAAAAATTCAGAAGGCACATATAACTTTAGTCACTAAGTACAAGTTCTTTTAAATAATTTAATGGCATAACTATATATGTAGTAGAGGTGTAGAGAGGTGGTAAATGAAGAGAGGTGGTAAATGAAGAAAAGGCTACTGAAATGTTCCAATTAAGCAAAGCAAGACAGCTTGGTAGTGAGAAAGTTGAAAGGCTGGGTAAAGAATAGGACAGGATAGTGAGAAAGGAAGATGAGAAGCTGGGGAAAGGTTTTGAGGTTGATCTGTGTGGAAATCATACTCTTAGAATTCACTTGGACCTGTGGGTCTTAGAGTGCTATGCATTTAACTGTATCAAGCTTTGTTGCTTCTGAACTGGAACATCATCGTGTCATAACTCTTCTTTTTATAGGTCTAAGGTCGTTCAATAACTTACCTAAAAGTCATTTTCACTAAGTCAGGTTTTCTAATGCTCTTTGAAAAGTTTATTCATGGGCTATTTGCTCGCAGCTCTTCAACTACTCTAATCTAAGCTTTTAAGGGTTACACATACTCTGGCTGCACTGAAATATTCAGAGAACTCCCTGTGGTGAGAATTAGTTTCTGGGGTCCAGCGGCACCTCAGATCTGATCAAATTCTAACTCTGGCCTGTAGGCTGGAAGTTCCCCAGCCTACCTAAAATATAAGATGAAGTGATGTCTAACTCCTGGACCCTTCAAGTTTTGTGACCTTTTGAAGCCTTAATATTTTATGAACACATATCATTTACTTTGGAAGTTTCTGGCTATTTAAATTGTGATACATTTCTGCTTTTAGGTTTGACTCATTTTGTCCAAATTGGTAAAAACATGTGCTTGTTGTTGAAAAAAGCATTTCTCCTGGACTGCCGTAAATACCTGTCTGTCCTGAAAATTAAAACTGGAAGAAAATACTAGAATAAGGAATGCCTTGATCAATATGCTTTTCTGAGAAATTTGAAATGTGCTTTATGCACATCTCCCTTCAACATTCACTTATAATACAGAAGTTCGCATGGGTGTACACGTGTAGGCTGATTTAAATCAGCTCGTGGTTTCTCTTTCTCGTGGTTAAATAGGGGGAAAGATGGTAATATTTACTGACCACTTACTCTGTGTTAGGTTCTTCACCTTTGTGTCATTTATTATTTGAAAATGGCTAATACTTATTAAGCACTGCCGTATTTAACTCTTGAATAACCCTTTTAAGTAAGTGCTATTATTTTGAAAATCGGACTTAGATAGGCTAAGTAATTTCCAAAGGCCACCTAACAGCTCAATGTAGAGGAAATTCTCTGAATTTTAAGAGCTTTGCTTTCACAAGTGAAGCAACATTATAAATTTTATGATTTTTCTTTTTCTTTATTTTTATTTTATTTTTTATTTTTTTGAGATAGGGTTTTGCTTTGTCACCCAGGCTGGAGTGCACTTGGCCTGATCACAGCTCACTGCAGCCTCAAACTCCTGGGTTCAAACAGTCCTCACACCTTAGCCTTCAAGTAAATGGAACTACAGATGTGTGCCACCATGCCCAGTTAATTTTACATTTTTTTTGTCTAGATGAGGGTCTCATTATGTTTGCCCAGGCTGTTCTCAAACTCTTGGGCTCAAGCGATCTTCCCACCCTGGCCTCCTAGAGTGCTGGGCTTATAGGCATGAGCTACGACACCCAGCCAGTGTGATTTCTTGAGGTGCTTTACTGGCCCTGGGAATCTGAGATTACAAATGTTTTGCTTTAAATGTCACAGCAACAGTAAATATCTTTAAAACTAATAATCTCGAGTAAGATACTTTCCTTTCTAAATCTTTTCGCTTCCTCAGAGGTAAACTTGGTGACACTTCTGCTCGTATCATAAAGCTATACTTTCAGTGATAAAATGAATACAGTGTATCAAGTGTGTTGACATATACTCACGTGTGTGTGTGTGTGTGTGTGTGTCTGTGTGTGTGTGTGTGTGTGTGTGTGAGAGAGAGAGAGAGAGAGAGAGAGAGAGAGAGAGAAAGAAACAGTGGTACATCTTAATCCTCTGGTAGAACTAAGTGTGGTGATAGCGATTCAGGAAGACTTTAGCTTGGAAATTTGAGCCCCTTAAAGAGATGGGAAGAATGAGAGAAAACCTGCTACTCATTCATAAGGATAAAGTAAAAAATGTTTCCTTTCCCTTTTCTTCAGTTAAATAATAACAGGTGGGCGGGTCATTCAGCTAACCATCATTTTCTGACTATTAAAAGGACCTTGGATGTCTATGAATTTGCATTAATTTTAAAATTAAATGTGCATAATAGTGGATTAACAAATAATTTTACTTCATAGCAACCTTTATTTCCCTAGCAGTACTCTTGAAGTAAAATTATTTGTGTCCAAGCTCCTAACCGGTTTTAATGACATTATAATGTCTTCAAAATGTCATCTTTGAAAAATGCCTTTTCCACTCCCTGCCAAAATAAATCACCTCCTTATCTAAAAGAATTATAAAAGAAGCACTTCTACGTTCAACAGAGACTTAAATTAACATTTACCATTAAGAAGACAACCTAATCAGACATCACTGAAGTACTGTTTTCAGTGATGATTGAGAAAGGAGCAGTACATTTTGAGAAATGAGGGATTCCATATACAGCAAGCATGTGCTCCACATTCAGCTCAAATGGAGACTAACAATGCATAAGAACCAACTGGGTGAGGCGGCTGATTTGCTAAAAAAGCTGTTCTCTTCTCTGCCTTTTGCTTCCTCTGGAGTCCAGCTGCCTTTTCTGTTTCCCATCTTGTATCCATGGCCTTGTTGCTCTGAGCAAGGACCTTCAGCTTAGAGAGAGGAAGAGCAGCAATAATAGAAACGAACCTTTCTGCAAAGGTATTGAAAGTTTCTAAAATGGCCAGATGACATGCTGCGGGGGAAGGGACAGTAGGGATGTTGCAGTGGCTCGCATCGTAAAATAGAAACTCCAGGCAACTGCAGCTGTGAAAAGATTGTGTTAAAGAAACAGGATGACTGTGGTTTACTGTGAGCATCAGTTTTCCTGTTGAGCATTTTTTACAGGAAGTTGAAGAACAAAGCCAAATTCATCTTAATTAGTTCTAATGGTTTTCAGATCTTAAATACATCCAGCTAAGTTTGTATCATGGAGGAGTCTCAAAAGAATGGAATCAAGAATAATTGAGTAGGAATCCCAAAACATACATTTTAAAATTCACTGTCTTAGCAGCAATTTTTAGTTTGTGCGATGATTTTATTTTTGCAGGGTGACTTGGAGGGGATTCACTGTCTTTGGAATGAATGCCCTTCAATTATTTTTCATGGTTGTAATAACTCAATATGAATTTTAAAACCTTTTCTCAGGAAAATGCCGTTGTGTTAAATGTATTATATATTTTCTTCTGTTAATATTTTTTGGTCAAACAATTATGTGTATGTGTGTGACACAGAGAGAGAGAGAGGGAAGGAGAGACAGACGTACATGTACTTATAAGCCAGAAGGACGTGTATCAAAACAACAAAAGAGTTATCTCTGGTTGTTACCCCCAACCCTTTTTTACCTAAATTTTAATTATTATTCAACACTTCCTTCAGTGGTTACATACAACTTTAGTGCTTTTATTTTCATCTTTGTATTTTTGTATTCTCTACAATACAGAAGGAGAAAAAGAAATCTCGAAGAAAACAACAACAAAAAAACTAACCTGAAGAAGCCAAAAGCACACAAGAAATAGATACATGAAAATGCGTTAAGAGCATTATATATAAAGCAAAATATAAATCAGTCCAGGCTGGTGGCTCATGCCTGTTATCATAGCACTTTGGGAGGCTGATGCAAGCAGATCACTTGAGGTCAGGAGTTTGAGACCAGCCTGGCTAACACGGTGAAACCCCATCTCTACCAAAAATACAAAAATTAGCCGAGTGTGATGTCACACTTCTGTAATCCCAGCTACTCAGAAGGCTTAGGCAGGAGAATTGTTTGAACCCAGGAAGTGGAGGATGCACTGAGCCAAGTTCACACCACTGCACTCCAGCCTGGGCAACAGAGTCAGACTCTGGCTCAAAATAAATAAATAAATAAATGTAAATAAAAATAGAAAATAATGAGAACAAGAGAGCAGTTGGATTTTTGAATCTGTCCAATTATTTTATTTCTGATACCCTCCCCTGCCCCATATACACACAATTGTTTGACCAAAAAATATTAACAGA